AATTTCTGATAAAAATCAGAAATCAGAAGTAGAAGTTTATTCAAAATAGGTTTTACTTTGAGATTCGCCACGCCCTCTTATAAGTGATTATAATCACTGTCTATTAAAGACATCTCTTTTCGATATTTTTCTAACTTGACATTTTTTCTTTCGACATTTTTCCTCTTCTAGACTTGTTTTTGGTATTCTTTTTCAATATTTTTCCTTTCGATGTTTTCTTATTCGGCTAAACTGCGATCAACCATTTAAGCCATCCATTCAATATATGATGAATAATTTCTTGAATACATTGAGATAATTCATCTTCCAAAATATAAAGTAGATTTGAAATAATCATATCAAATGATATATATTTAAGCGATTTCTATGATGAAGACATGCATTATTACGCATGAATTTGCTACTGAAAAAAAAGATAAAATAATACTATAGCTAAATATTCACTTTCATTAACGATTCCAACAATTGATTGTTCTAAAAACTAAGACCTATCTTCAGCTCTATTTAAATATAGTTTAAGATTTATTATTTTTATTGGATTTATAAAGTTGGTGTTTATGATGAATGAGAGATTTTGAATTATGATATTGATTAACAATAAATAATCGATTGAAAAACATTAGTAAACTACACACATATTCAGTTGAAATATGGCGATGATATTGGTTAATTAATCTACGAAATAATGATTTAGATTTTAAATGCAATTGAGAATAGTGATATAATTCTGAAGCACAAGAAAATAACTATCATCAATTATACTATGTGATAAAAAAGTTATTTCAACGAACGTATTTCGATTATTCTAAGAAGCAATATTTTATATTTGATTAAATGATTACTTAATAAATATATCCTATTGATATCAAGCGAGAAAGATTACTACGAATATATAAGAAAGTTTATTTCTTATTGAGATTTATCTCAAAGAATACAAACGATAATTATATTTGTACTATGAATATTTAATAATCAATGTTGAGCATGAATATCAATTTAATAATAGTAGTAGTTTAATAAAAATAAAATGATAGAGTCACTGAAATTAATTAATTCATACTTGATAGTTCATATAACATAATGATCAATACTGTTATGGTTATATTTTTTTCAACTAGCATCTATCTATATAAAAGGAATCTTTAATGTAAACTCAAACAGAAAATCATTGAATGAAGCTCATCAAAATCAAATTGTTTGAGTGCGGTTCATGCCTAGTGACAACGACTATATAGCTCGAGCAGTGTATAAAAAATATAATTAAATAGCTAATGTTTATTATTTTTAAAATTATCAATACAATATAAATCCATGATTGTGATTCTATTCATTCGTGACATGTGAGTGAATGGCATTTTTTTATTAAACTTGTGATGTATAATGAAACAGACTACTTAAAAAAGGGAAAAACCCAGACAAAACATTTGATTCCCCGAAAAGTAACTGTACAACATTCACTTTCTCACAACAACTTGAAGCACTTTGAATAGGACACTTTCGCTGAATTTGTCCGTCAGACGATGTCGAAAAAAGTGTTTTGCGTCTGCAACATACATCATAAAAAGCACCTCAAATAAAATATTTTTGTTGAGATTTTTTTCAAGGTAATAATAAAGTGATTATTAGTTCTAATGGATCTTTTTCCAAACGAAGTTCCACACAATAAAGAAGATATTCAATTGATCTGGCTTGATGGAAATAGAAATGATTCAGATGATTATCTTCTCACTCAATCTATGTTAATTCAACTCAACCCAGCTGTTCGGTTTTATTCTCATTTTGATCGATGTCTCGATTTAATAAAATCAATCAAACACAAGCTAATCTTTTTGATTGTTTCAGGTGCTTTTGCTCAACATATACTTTTACACACTCATCATCATCAATCTTTGATTGCTACATTTATTTTTTGTTCTAACAGTCAACATTATAAACCATTAATGCAAAAATATAATAAAATTATTGGAATATTTACTAGACAACATCATTTATTAGAATCAATCAAAGAAAAAATGAATCTTGTTGAAAAACAAACATTATCGTTTAGTCTTTTTAATCAAAAGCAAAAGTCATTAAAAGATTTATCACAAGAATCTGCATCATTTCTATTACGTCAAATGTTAATTTATGTTCTAAAACAAATGTTACAAGATGAACAATCAAAACAACAAATGCTCGATATGTGTCGTGATTATTATAAAAAAAATAAAAAAGAATTAAAGAAGATTAAAGAATTTCAAAATACCTATACTCGTGACAAAGCAATTGAATGGTATACAGATGAATGTTTCCTTTATAAACTATTAAATAAAGCACTTCGAACTGAAGATATTGAATTACTCTTCACTTTTCGATTCTTTATTATTGATTTATGTTCAGTTATTGAACAAGAACATCAACTTTTGAAAAATAAAGGAACATTAACTTTGTATCGTGGAACACAAATTCCAAATGAAGAATTAGAGAAAATAAAAGAAAACATTGGTAAAACTATTTCAACAAATGGATTTTTATCAACATCACGAAATATCAATGTATCACTTACATTTATTCATAACAATCCTCCATTAAATGATTTTACCTCAGTCCTATTTGAAATTAAAGCAAATCCATTATTGAAAACAGTGATTTTTGCTGATGTTAGAAATAAAAGTCGAATAAAAGGTGAAGAAGAAATTCTGTTTAATCTCAATTCACTCTTTAAGATCGTTTCTGTCTGTTTTGATTCTAAACTTCGTGTATGGAAAGTAGAATTGAATGCAACAGATGAAAGTGCAGAAAAAGTAGAAGAATATCTCTTGTTATCGAAACAACAGATGAAAGAAAACACACCCCTTATTTATTTTGGTAGCCTTCTCTGGAATGAATTAGGTCAAGTGGATCGTGCTGGGAAATATTTTAATATGTTACTGAAATCACTTCCACGAGATCATCCTGATATTGCAGCTGTTTATAATAATATTGGTGCAATACATAATATCAGAGGTGAATTGAATTTAGCATTGAAAAACTATGAGATAGCTTATGAGATGCGTCGAAAACAACTACCTTCAAATCATCCTCACATTGCTAGTTCACTCAGCAATATTGGCCTTATTTATCAAGCAAAAAGTAATTTTAGTATAGCACTCAATTATTTTCAACAGGCTTTGACAATTCAGGAAAACTTATATCCTGGTAATAATTTACAAAAAGCAATGGATATCGAAAATATTGGTAGAGTATACACGGATAGAGAAGATTTCGGTACGGCTCTTGTTTATTTGTCTCGTGCTCTCGAGATGTATAAGCATGTTCTCCCTGATCAACACTCTGAAATAGCATCATGTCTCGGTGGAATAGGGTATACTTATGAGAAGAAAGGTAATTTAGATATTGCTCTGGATTATTATCAACAACGATTAAATATGGAAGAACAATGTTTACCGTTCGACCATTCAGATCTTTCAATTCATCTCGGCTGGATCATTACTATTTATAAAAGGATGAATGAGATTGACAAAGCCTTAGACTTGTGTCAACAAAAACTTCTTATTCAAAAAACTAGATTGGGTGAAAATCATCCTCGTATTGCTCGAACATTAATGATCATGGCTGATTTAATTGAGGATAACAATCGAAAAAAAGCATTAAAATACTATGAACAAGCTCTATCTGTATTGGAGAATTGTACACCACCTGACTATCAAGTTACTTCTGAGTGTTTGATATCAATGGGTTATTTATATTCCAATTGTGATATGATAGAAAATGCATTACGATGTGAACTTAAAGCACTTGAACTCTATCGTCAGACATTGTCTTCGGACCATATTAACATCGCAAATAGCTTAAGAAATATTGGTCTAGATTATGAAAACATGAACAACTTATCCGAAGCACTTCGTTATTTCAATGATAGTCTTTCGATCTATCGAGCTAATTATGGACCTGAACATGAAATGGTGAAGGAAGGTGAAACAGACATTACCAGATTGGAAGAGAAACAAGTGTCACTATTAACTCACGAAAAAGAATCAAAAAAATTCAAGCAATAAGAATATGTCCTTCTGCGCGAACCCGCGTTCGGGGAACTTTTTTACATGAAAATATTATTTTATACGTAAATGATCTGATGAGTTAGTGCACTGTGAATATTCACACCTTATTGAAAAGATATAATAATTATTTTTTTTGTTTGGGTTTTTTTGTTTATTTTCTTATTCGAAAGTAATAATGATATAATTTCAGCAGAGTGAGAGAAATGACAAATGCAAAAGCAAAAAAGAAACAACAACAAATACACACGTATGTGAGCAGCAAGTAAGAGTGAGATAGAAGGAAAAAAATAGTGTAAAAAAAAACAAAATCACCATCGAATAGAACGCACAATAACAGTAACAGCCATAAAAAAGACAAGAAAAGTTTTAACTTTTCTAATTTTGTTTAATGTCTTCCTTCTTTGTTTTTTTCAAATAATGAGGGGTTAAAGCGGAGAAGAAGAAGAAGAAAAAAAGAGTAATCAAAGAGATAACTATGTATAAGTAAGGAAAAAGACAAATGCAATAATCTACATAAACAAAAATCTGAGCACAGCAAAATATTATGATGGTAAATAATGGAAGAAAACACACACACACACACACACACACACGCACGCGTCACACAAAGAAACCCATAGAAATAAAAGAGAGCCCAGTATTTTCGTTTTTTTTTGAATATAACTACGAAATAAAGAAGAGTTTAGGATAAAATTAATCTCGTATAACGAGAGACAAAGAATGACTAGGTGTTTTTCTTTTCTATTTGAAATAATTCTTCATTATCTGTATTATAAATGAGTATGATTTCAAAAACCGCGATTCATTAGATGAATAATGATCATTATGATCGAGGGATAAGAAAAAACCAAAGAAGAAGTAGAAGAAGAAGAAGAAAAGGAAAAAAAAGCACACGACGAAAAGACCCTGATCAGACATAAGAAAAGTTTATTATAATTGTATTATTATGTCATTCTCTGTTCATTTTCGTTTTGATGAAAATAATCGATTTGATTTCTTTTTCACAGCTGGTGGTTGTTGTGATGAACCAGGTTCAACTGATGAACTTGAACGTACTGGTAATGTTCGTGATTTTGGTTCTTGATCCGAAGATGATTGAGACATTTCAACACCTAAATAAATCAAACAAAACATCAGTCTCTTTTGAAATAAAAAACATTTTCAATTTGATTAATTACCTGATGTACTTGATATCATAGCAGGTGTTGTTACCTGTCGCGATGATGAACTTGCTGTTGGTGGTGAAGTTAAAGCAATTGATGGAATTTGTGTTGTTGGTGATGTTGTTGCACTACTTGTTATTGATGATGAATTAATCGAATTATTAATTGTCATGATCCATTCATTCATTTCAATATTATCTCGTGCTTGAAATAAATATTCATTACCACCTTGAAGTTTTAAACGAAATACATTATGTCTTTTATGATAATCAACTGCTGGTGCAACATTAGCTGATACATCTAAAATAAGATCATCACTAACTTGACGACCTGTTTTTAAATGTTTTGCATCTTTATAGAATGACAAACGACTGCTTGTTAATACACAATAATATTTTTCCCATGTACGATGTGTTGCTTTACGTTCATATCCTTCCCATTCATGTTTTCGTGTTAAGAAACCTTCTTTTATTATTGGTAAACGTGTACTTGATTCTGATCGTCGTTGTTTACCAGTTGTTGTATCATATTCTTGACTAGGACGTTGTTTACCTGATAAACGATCATGACCATCCGTCATAGTTTTTTCTTCTATTATAGTTGATTTCATTTTTGATTTATCACCTATTGGTCGTTCAGCATCACGTTCTTCCCATGTTTTAAATTCTTCTAAA